TGGGAATTACAGGCATCAGTGAGATAATGAAAAGGGGCGACGGCTGCACCAAACTGCAATCAGGTCATAAACTATACTACAAAGGCCAAGAAAACACAAGCTTAGAAGGGATTGAAATACTGATTCACAGGAAACTGACAGAAAGAGTAAAAATGCTTCAAACCTTCAAAAGTCTTAGGCCAGTATCTTTAGGAAATCTTCGGAACTTTTCCGGATATTGTTTTGGCGGATAGCCGAGCTTACTGCCGTCGTCGCGAAAGCGATAGGTTTTTGTTGCAACGCTGTTCTTCCTTAGGTGGAAACGCCGACGATTGTCCCATAGAATGAGCATCCACAAAGACAGAAAAGATAAACGTTTTTACTGCAGCTAGTTGCCTTGAAGTATAAGATATTGTATACATAAATGGCAATATAACAATTGTTTCTCAGAAAAGACATATTTGCGGTGAAAGCCGTTATTAACCAATTGATTCCGAATCTTCTATTCCGAACATTAAAAAATGTAATGGAGTAATAACTTTGTTTAATATTATTAGTATTTCAACAACACATCATACATACAATCTTGAATTTTATTTACCAAGTAGCGACTGACAATCAAATTAATTAAAAATATCTGTTATAAAAATAACAGAAACGCCTCGATTTCTGAATTGTTCCTGGTAATTGATTAATGGCAAAAAACATTTTGCATACTTTCCTGTGAGAAATGAAAGCGTTTAACATCGGCTTCAGTAAATTTATCTAAAATATTTTCTATATCTCATATAACTGTTATCCATAGCGGCTAATTGCCTCAAAAGATAACATTTTGCGTAAATCGCAAATTAACTAATCAATAATTTTTTTATGGAAAATACATATTGTACCGTGGATGGCCGAGTATCGAACTCTTTCTTCAGCTTCCAACTTTTATTCAACTCGGTATCACTTTAAATACGGAACAGGAATAACCTAACTTCTAAATTAACGTCAACTTTACAAACAATAACAATAACAAACGGAAAACTCGGTCTTCCTACCCGCGGGGTTTAATCTCTTCTGAACCCGGTCGCTGCTGTCACTTCACTTCCCCTGTCTCGTTCTCCTCGCCGCTTATATAGATTCCTTCAGGTAACCCAGATGGACAAAATTCCCGCTTGTCAGTGTCATATTTGACAGGAAATGAGGCGCAAATGGGGCTCCCATTTACTGAAATACCATGAATTTTGATCCCTCCATTTAAAACCTGAGTACCCCAGGCCAACGTTACAATATTAACGGTTATAGCCGTTATTAACCGTTGACAAAATCAATCAAAAAGGATGCCCAATATCAAACATTGGAATTAGCAGTTTAGAAGCATTTTCAGTCTGTGGTTTACTTGTTTAAAGGTGTTTTTAAAATGGCATTCAAGTATCTAATAGTTGAGAACAAGAAAACCGATGCTTTTCTAATTTCATGGCTGAATTATCCGGATTAACGCTGTAGAAAGCATCGAGATCGTGATCCATATTTTGAAAACGTTAAATACCTAGATTAAAAAAAAACACGAGAATTCGTTACGCTGATAACTTTCACTCAACAAATTTGCACTCAATAGCTTTGGCGATCGTTCAGATATGCCTACACCCGCCTCCAACAAATTCCCACCGCATCGTTCAACAACATTAAAATGCGCGTGCGTCAGATGCCCAACCGATCGCCTCTGCAACGAAAAATTGCCTCCAGCGAATATTGAGAGGCCGGCGCATTGTAAGTGAGCGACTAAACATACCGGCCTTAGTGATTTTTAGTTCAACAATATGCATCAACAAAAACAAGCAAAAATTAGAGCGATGTAATAAAATCAAAAGCAACACTATACATGCTACAAAGGAAACGATAACTTATAGTAAACAGCAAAAGATCAACAATGGGAAACGTTTGCCGGACAGAATGACAGAAAAATGGTCAAGAAAGACATTAAAACCCGATGTACCGACACAATACTTGAATTGGGAAGAAACTCATAGAAGATAAAAAATAAAGGAACAAAAATTTTCAGAAGGGAAGCATCAAACACAAAAAAAGAAATCGTTAGAATCAAAGACAAAAAACGCAAACGGATCGAACGGAGACAAGATATTATCAGAACAGTACAAGAATTTTATGAAGACCTACACGAAGAAGAATCGCAGAGTCAAGTCAGGAACGTCGGCTGTGAGGACATACCGGATATTAATACGGGAGAAATTAGAACTGCAACGCAACATATAAAAAACGAGGAGAAATACTATAACGCCAATGTATCAACAAATGTCTCCTGCAAAAGGAAAATATACCACAGAAAATACGGCGCATTCAGAAGTGGAATTAGGCAGGACTCAAGAAACCAAGACAGGTGGAGCGGTAGAATAACCAGATGGAGGCCATGGAGTGGCAGAAGGAATGTGGGACGTCCACTAATGAGGTGGACCGACGACGAAATAAATGGCTCGGCTAAACTGGTAACAGATGGTTCAAGACCGAGATGGATGGTTGAAAACGAGTTGGGCTTATACTCAAGAGGTGGAAAACAGTTAATCTAAAAAGGGCTATTTGCATTTAACTATGAAATATTCAACGAATCATCCTGTTGACTAGAATACTTAAAAATAACCTGATAATTAATTTCTTAATGCATGCTGATATTATACAACTTTATATACGCTCAAGATACCTTATCCCATCAGAATATCATTCTAGGGAGAATAATCCAGAAAATTTAAGGAGACTGAGTAAGTTCAGAAGGCAGGAATACACTAGACTAGCTGATACATGATTGAAAATAATCGTCTTCATCTAAATTATTTAAAAATATATATTGAGTTTGAGCAGCTTTGCCAATGCGAAAGAAAACATTATCAATAAAATAATTTGACTATAAAAATTTTACTGACAATGGACCAGATTTAGCATCAAATATTTACACCTACAGCGGCATTCGGCAGCCGGATTGACAAACAATATTTTTTAGCGACCAAGTGGCAACAAATAAAAATGTCGAGAAAAAAAGAAAGCATGGTAAAATAGGTAGCTAGGCTATGCTAAATCTACTGCGAAGAAAAAGAGCGGACCGTAATCAGAAGCAGTAACTAAAATCAAAGCTATCTTAATTAAAAGCGTGCCTCTACTTCTTAAATACAAGCCATATGACCAAGGACTAAGACTAAAAAACGCGAATATATGAACAAGATAAAAACTGCAAGCTATATCACCCTTAAAAAAATAACCACTCCGATAATTATGAAAATTAAATGGTTTATCAGTTAAATAAATAACATACTCTTCATATCAACATGCCATTCTTTCTATTTTCATTTTCACCAATTCATTATAATTATCCCGTCATTTAAACTTATTTGACATCGAAATTGTTAAAATTACAAAAGCACACGTCCTTGGATATGCCAACTTAATATTCCTGAATAAATAAAATGAATAGTTTATTTTAATCGTCATTTTATCCATCATTATGAAGATGTATAAAATTGGCTATGTATCTTACTTATCTATTTTAACTTGTCGATTTAGTTACGCCATCAACTATAGAAAGGTTATACATTTCAAAGCTAAGAATATTTCTATTGGACTAATAAAAGTCGAAAAGGAAACTACAGACAGACGCAGTTCTTTTTTCTTTAAAAAAACTCAATTATTCTGTTAACCGCACATGTATCTTCGAAAACATATATTCCATATACTTACATAATATATGAAATAAAATATACGTCAAGTCTATTCATAATATAAAATGATTTTGTGGTAGCAGTTAATTTTTCACTTTATAAATGGTTTCCTTCTGTTTGCATTGTTTCATGCCTAATTTGGTAGGTTCAACAATTATTACAAGAAATATCTCATGATCAACTTTAGTTGGAGCACAATTTCTAAACACAAGTAACTATCCCATTGAACTGCCACAGATAAAAATAACCGTACAAATATACTATTGACTATTGACACCATAGGGAAAGTGATTAAATGTCCGGAAATCAACCTAAATAGTTAATTAAACTTATGGTTTCTCTTGTCGAAGATATAAAAGTGTCTCTTAACATTTAAGAGTACTTATGAAATATAAGTATCTGTTTGTTTTCTGAAAAATCCCAATTTTTTAGAAAACATACTTCTTAATAATGGTGTCAGAAAATGTTGGTGACTAAATCACCCCGTGTTAATTACACTTAGACTAAATTCATCTTCATTATTAGGGTCATTGTAAAGAATGTGGTGGGCCGCACAATAATGGATTTAGTTAACGTATCATTCATAATCGATACCAATCTCTTATCTAATGAAAAGAGATCAAAATTAAAACAATGAGAACTGCGGAAACCCGTTATATAATACAATAAAAGTGCCGTAGAGAGGTTTATAAATATAATCATATGCATTATATAACCAGAAATTATCAAAATATCCAAAATAATATATAGAAAATATCCAAAGCGTTCCATGGTAAAAATACACGGTCTCTAAATACTTAAATCTTTCGTTTCTCTATCTATATAGAGTTTATAGCTTTCTGTTTTTACAACATTTTTTCGCCTTTATCCAACTTTAAGGGAAAAATAATACGGTTTTGCTTAAGTTGTAGCGTTCATCTAGTTTCCACAAAGATAATTTCTCAATAAAAAAAAATGTATATCAAAAAATCATTGATCTCAATTTCAGATGTCAGGTCAAGGTTAAATTTTTTTGATAAAGCACACTCTATTTCTCATTACGTATTCAGAATGACGCTTTTCGCCATAGCAAATTATTGAGTAACAAACTAGAGTTGAAATTAATCCTCCGGAATAAGTTAAACAAAGGTAAATTTGTTATTGAAACTTTAGAAAATGAGATTTAAAATGTTGATATTTAATTTTGAATCAAAATGCAATCAGATACCGACCTCAAATAAACACGTTCAACAAAGATGTTATTATGAAAATACTCATAAGAATGAGTATTTTCGAAGTATGTATTACCATCGAATTAACTAGGATATTTACCTATTTTCTAGCAGGAACTGCTCACTATCGAGATTGTCTTGGTGCACTGATCAATGAAAGGTTAATACGCCAACTAAATAAATAAACTCGTTCATTAGAACATACGAGAAGACGTGAAAGATTTACTGCGAAATTAAAGAGAGTGAGCTGACGATGTCAACAATTATCAGAGAATAAATATTAAGTATGTAAATATTAGGTACTCAGTAGACTTCAGATATTTTGATCATATAATAATTTATACATGGAGAAATGCTATGTACAGACTTAAGTGCATATAAGTTAAAATAAATTTTGACCAAGTAAGTGCGTTGTAATTATTCATTCACCATGATAAACTACGCAAATAAATGGTAAGTTTATTAGCATACACAACAAAAGCAAATCATAATTAATCGTCTACAAATTTATAGAAAATAATGCGGCCTGATTAAAGTAGCTTTCATCTGAGTACTCCTCAAGACTCTAAGCCAATTGTGCAATAAGTAGAATTGGAAGTCAAGTTTAGGTAAAGTGACCACACGTCACGATTTTGGCGGGGACAGTCCCGCTTTTCGGTGGACTGTCCCGCGTCCCGTCTATTTTTAAAAACGCCCCGCTCTTTAGAAATTATCTGCATTCTTTATTTTAAATGTACTGTAAAAATATATTAACATTTGAACAGTTGAACATAAAAACTTTAAAATCTTTATCAAGTGTAAAATATAATTTGACCAATTCATGTCAAATGTGTATTAAATATTTCACTACATTTTAATAGACTGTCCGAATCTATTGCAAAATATTCACTCGGATCAAAAATATGGCCGTGAATGAAAATAATATTTTTTTTCAAATAAAGAATTTGATTCGATAAAAAATCATTATGTTCAAATTATCATTTTAATGTAAATATTTTTATAGTTACCAATAATTAATATTAAATACATTTTATACAAGTATATGAATATATACAATACCAAATATATAACTAAATTGTAATTCTCATTTCATCCCATTAATCCCGCTTTGTCTCAATGAAAATGTGGTCCCTTTAACTTTAGGCAACTTGAGTCAGGCGACGTTTCTTTGACGCGAAAGAGTGCTCAATTCAAGTGCGGTGCAGTTTTTCATTAAAAGATACTTGATATGTCAGCGGAAAGTTAATATTATTATTGCTGTGTTCACATGATCATATGTCACATGATCATATGTCACACGTGTCACATGATCATATCTATATAATGATCTATTAACTTTAACTTTACAATTCCCAAGTAATATTTTATTATTTGTTTGTAGAACCGCAAATCACGAACCACCAATTTTTTTGAAATAAGAAATATGCATGCAGTCAAAGGCGCTGATCTAATTATAGTAGAGGGATATGACTTCAGCTTGGGAGTCCCTATGTTTGTCGTGTCGTATTCTGGCTAACTGCAACTATTCAGATTGACTATACTGTTTGAACAGCATTCAATCATTTGGAGTGAATAAACCACCTGAATAAAAATTTAAACTCCAACTGCAGTTCATCCAGTTGCAATAAGATACTAATATGTCAGCATCTCCTGGTTGTACATGTAATTTAACTTTCAAATTTTCTTCTGTAGAAAAATTTTAACCCTGAAAATTTTACAAGAAGTAGAATTATAAAAACTTAAAACTCCATATTTTGTTTCCACATTTTAAAATTTGGCAGCAGGTATTAATTTCACTTTTATTTCCTTGCCTAGAAGAATATTTGCATCATATTTAAGAAAACGTTATCAACAAAACATTCATTTTCGCGCAAGAGAATTTACCCCATCGTCCTCTTGGCTGATGGAAGCTGACCATTTGCTCTTTGTATGTGTTCGTAATCTACGAGTTCATATGTCAGATTATATATTTTTCTGACGGTTATTGTATTTATTCCTCTATTTTTAGAGTAAGTTACTTACTACTTACCATTCTAAAGTTTGTGCGGGTTAAGTGAATATTACCTTTTGGTTAAAAATAAATCCTAGGTGTTTTGCTCCTTTCTTGAAATTAGTTTGTTCTGCTGTGGTTATTATTCTCGGGGAGTTATCTTTAATTTGATGATGGAATAAGCAGCAAGTTTCCGTTGCGTCTGGTGTAATTTTCTATTTATGGATTCCATGCCTTTGTTTCATGTGGTAGTGTTCAAAGTTTCTCTCCAACTTTTGTTGTCTTTTTGTCTTGTAAAAACAGCGCAGTATTGTCATCGTATAGTAGGTAGTATGTAGGCGAATTTATGTATATAATTTTTGTCGTGTAGGCTACAGTTGCATGTCATCGCAATATAAATTGTCGAAGAGGAGTGTACTATAAACCTTACTATTAGTTAAACTTATACCATAAAATTTTATATTTTTTGTTATTCGTTACACTATTCACATTGTCATTTGTTCATATATTGCTATTACACTGGTGGTTTTAATTTAATATATAAAATGCACGAAATAATACCTGCAATATGTAAGGAACTTAAGATGTTTGACCTAATGATTATAATCTGCTTAAACTTGTAATTCTTAAAAATGACATAAGCTTGCAGCACTTGTAGTTATGTTTAACTTCCAATCTTAATCTGGATTAATATAACTAATAAAATATTTAATTAAATGTTTTTATTGTTTATCTGAGGGCTGCTTTCAATAACAGTCAGACGTTTGCATATTACGTTTAAATTGAAATATATGCACAGGTTATACCGCAGAAGTGACTAGACAAGTACAATAGTTGAAAGTTTTCTCCATTCCCACACTGGAACTGGAAATTCTTCTATTCTTCTAATTCTTCTTTTATGTCTAATAAAACAATTGAAACTTAAAGGGTTAATAAACATGTTTGGACAGAAAGACCGATTGGGTCGATAGAATTTTTCTATAGGAAATAAACATTTTATATATAACATGTTTTATTCCGGTTTACGTTTACAATACATCAATATACATAACATTTTATTCTTCTCCTTAATGCGCCATCTCCATTCGAAGTTCTGCGATCCAACTGGCAATAATTACCCGTGACACGGCTGCTCTGAGGATTTCGGATGACGTTTTACTGAGCCATCGGAGTAGATTCTTGTGCCAGGAATTCTGCTTTCTCCCTATTGACCTTTTCCCCTGAATCTTTCCCTCGATTATGAGCCGAAGTATTTCAAATCCATCACCTCTCATTAAATGTCCAATATACATTCGTTTGCGCTCTTTGATTTTGAGCATCATTCTATTGATAATTTTGATGTTTCTTACTCTCTCGATCCATATACTCCTACAAAGATACACTTTGAAAGCCTCAATGCGTATATCACTTCTTGATAGTATCTCTTTCGTCGAATCGCAACTATCACACACTAGGACCCTTAGATATGTGGAGGGTAATACCTGCTCAACGATTTTGTTATGTATATGGAGGGCAGCTTCTGTTTGCACCTACGAGAAAACTATACGTTTTGTCTTGGGGATGTTTATAGGTAGTTCATAACGCTTGCTGTACTCAACAATGACATCTAGAAGTTCCGAGTAGTCAAGAACATCTAGAGTCCAGGCAGGCTGCTGGCAAGAACGATTGTATCGTCGGCATATTTTCCATTGCTAATTGTTTTGCCATTGACTAAAGATGATTGATGATTATGAGTAAAGAGTACCGGGCATAATATGCATGCTTATCGCACACCGTTTCTTATGGCTATCTCATCTGATATTTTGTTCTATACCTTTACTTGAGCTGGCTGATGCCAGTAGTATCTATGCCTGTTTTTTTGAGTATTTCTGCTAATTTTTTATGTTGCACACTGTTATGTTGGTATCTATAACTTTTACCATCGATTTTAGACACGATACATCAAACTTATCGTGCGGTAATCATCGCACGTAAGACGCGATAGGTTTTTTGGATAAAGTGACAAAGGTGACCTTAGTCATTCGGAGGATAATTTTCCTGTTCTCTCAATATCGTTGGACAGGTTTGTTGGTTAGCTTAAGCGGAGTTTTAAGGTTTCGACGTGTCCCTCAACGGTCTTCACAGCTTGTATTAAGATCGTCGCTCTTTACCTCTTCTTTAGTGATGTTAGGACTCGTCTACTAAATCTCATTGACTTGGAGGGGTCGTTCTGGTCGTTGGTCATTAAACAGTTTTTTAACATACTTATTCCAACACTTCAATTTTTCGTCAGGTCCCACGAGCATTATGTTGTTATCATCTTTCAGTCTTCCGCTGGTCCCTTTGCGATTACTGCCTGTCATTTCCATGATCTTTTTATGTACGTTCGGCAGATCCCGTTTTTGCTGTAGTTGGTCTATTTCGCAGCATCTCTGCAGCAGTTTCTGCCAGCCAATGTTCTTTTACTTCACTGCATTTTCTATGACTAATTCTGTTTAGCTCTCTGTATCTAGCCTGGCTCTTTGTTTTGTGTTCTTTCCGATCTTCCGTAATTTTTAAAATATCGTCATCCAGGCTTGTTTTTTTGTTTGTCTTTGGAAGTCGATATCTTTTGTTTGTGTTTTTAGTAGTACGTCTCCGCATCTCCGTCCACCTCTCCTCAATTACTGTGCCCGGCTCGCTCTTCTGCATTATTTTTTCAAGACTTTGTTCTGCTAAATACGTTTACAAGTATTGCACCGTCCGAGTATCTACATCAAACCACTAGCTTGTTTGTAGATTAATTCTCCAGAAACATCATGTATATTAAATAAATATATGCATCAATTGAATTTAAAAAAATGTGTAAAGTACATTTTGTTATCATCGATTGTTATGTTTGTTTGAAGTATTGCTGCAGTTGCACTTACGGTATTGTATTTAATTATAATTGAACGCAAACTTTCTACGATCAAAATATGCAATAGTACGATCTAGATCAAACAAGGCCGCGCTGTTGAGTAGTTGGCGACAAGTTAGAAAGTATATTTTCGACTACATATTATTTGCAATATTTGTCAGCATAAAATATTATCTTACATGCTAGAGCGTCAAACCAAACATTATGTAAAAAAATATCTGCATATTTAAAGACGACGTTGGATTACGTATTTATTATGATTTATGTAATTCACCTATGAAGTTTGACAAACAAACCAGTTTACCAAAATATATTGGTGTATTTTTTATTTTCACGTGTAACTATCAGATTTCGCAGCATGAACTAGTCTATTGCTTCCCCATTGGTGATAGACGCTGGCTTAGAGATATGTATTGGAGGGAATTAAGAACTTATTTTTGAGGTTTTGCTCTCATCAGCGGGGGTGAGTATGCAAACCACTAAACGAAAAAATGTTTGCTTGAAGGGGGAATAAGAAAACATTCCGGTAAGGAACTGTTGCAGTCGTCATCTATTACTAAAGCTCGGATTAAAGGCAAATTGCTTTTTTTTGCCTATTTTGCTTATTTCAAACATTTATTGGAAGTTTTGCCTTTCTCAGAAATTTGTGTCAAGTTTTGCTTTTTTCAAGCATTTCGGGGCACTTGTTACCGATTCCCGGGAAGGAAGACACCCCGCTAAGCGGTACCTGCGAGAATTGCATGGCAAGTGTGAAAAGTCTTGATGCAATTGGTGATTGTTTTGTTTCCAAGTAGTTCATTTAACATAATGCAGTCCTAGATATACTCCATTGTCTATTGAGACAACACCATTGACTATTAAGCAAATACACAACTGTGCTCGGCTACCCTTTTCACTATTTGAAAGTTTGAACTGACCACCCAACACAGCCGAGCAGAAAGCGTGGGGAATACCCTGTTTCCCTCACCCTACACACATTCATTGGTCCTTCGAGAAGTAGAAATTTCCACCAAATATTCGTGTCTGGCATTCCTAATTATTCATC